TATGTGGGGAAGCAGGACACAGGCCATAGGCAAGGCTGATGAATCCTTTGGTGTTGGGACTTGCTAATGGAAATGTGAAGCCAAAGCCAGAACTTGCACCCTTTTGTTCCAGGATGTGTGACAGAGGATACAGCCTAGGCTAATCCCTGCTGACCCCAAGAGAGAAGAAAGAGACTCCTAACAGCAAGGGGTAGTCTGTCCCTGTTCTGGAAGTCGTGCAGGAACTTTGCTTTTCTGGCAAGCCACAAGCCCTCTCCACTCAACATCTTGCAGTCAGTAACTTTTTTTCAAGTGCTTTTTGCATCAGCGGCTTCAGGGTTCAAAATTCTCCCTGGTCCTGCACAGGGTTTGTCCCTGCCAGGGATCTTCCAACTGTCATGGGGCTTTTAGATTAGTGTTGGGCACTGCTGCAGGTCTAGCTGGATTAGGAAATTTTGGGATGTGACTCAGCGCACAGCTTGGATGAGCTCAGCCCCTCCTGACCTCTGCCTCTTGCCCTGAACATCCTGCCTAGCTGAAAGCTTCCTCATCCAGGGTGATGCATTTAGAGTAGCCAGGCACTGACATCTAAGGGGAATGAATTTCTGTTATACATGGCTGAGTGAAAAAACCATTCAGGACATGGCTTTTCCTTTTTTCTCAGTCGCAGGAGATGATATTTCTGGACATCCAGTGGTCTGCGTGGGAAGCAACACACCTACAGCTCACAGCTAGTTAGATCCTGCAAAACACAGCAGGACCAGCTCATCTGCTGCACATTTAATCTATTTGTCAAGGTACGTGTTAGTGCTTGAAGTCTGCACATCCTATTCAAAGCGGTGAGGTGATTCATTGTCACACAGAAATTAATTCCTCAAAGACTTGCTCTTGAAATGCCTTGCACATCAGAAACCGTATGTGGGTTAGGAACAGCACTGGATTCCTAGAACGGTGCAGCCCTGAGGTCACCGTTTTGCCGTTACAGAACATCTGTGAAAGAAACATTTTGCTCTGGCGTCAGCTCAATGCTAAAACATGCCATCTTAGGGAGTCAAGATAACCTCTTGGCATCTGTCAGCCTGTGCTGCGTCCTGACTAGGCTGCTGGGTTGGCTTCTGGTTCATTTTAATGCCATAGGAGGAAAATCCTATTTTGGGTATTGCCCTATATTTGTCAGTATTTTGTGAATGCACGTGGATTGCTTTGTTTCATTTGGCTACTGAAGTGGTGCTTCAAACTGGCCCACCCTGGATGGCCAGTTTGCTCAAGGCCAAGCTTGGCTTTGTCCAAAGCTGGGATGAAGAACTGAGAGACAAATGAGCAGGGTCCCTCTGCTAGGAGCTGTTTCTGACCTGGTGACGGAGACAAGACACATACCAAAGAGCATGAGGGTGTTTGGACGGGTAGAACAACAGACCTAAAACTCAGAGCACCATGCAAGGATGCACAGGACCTGTGTCCCGTCCCGGTGCACAGCAGAGAAAGGCCAAGAAACAGCTTCTGCATTTCCACAGCTGGATTTCTCAATTACTGTTTATGCCATCTGGGTGACTCCTTTTCAGATCACCTGGATTTCTCCTACATTACAAACCCCATTGGTGAGGTCTGGATACCTCTCACTCTGACACAAAACCCACCCGGGGCTGTGTAAACAGGTTTGCAGATTTTTTTTTTTTTCGCTCCTAGCTCCATTTGAAAGACACCAGGGACAGTCTGAGGGTTTGAAAGACAGGGAGAGGTGGCAGTACCTGCTAGTGATGGAGTAAGCAGGTGGAGACTTGGCTTCTCTTTACTTTTCCACTATAAACACTATTTACTTCTTGGTGCTGCAAGATTTGGTAAGAAGTGAAATGGATTTAGGCACTATCTCAATAATGCAGAGATGCGGCTAAGAATAAAACATAGCCTGTGTGGCCTGATCTGTGGTTTTGGTTTGCGATTTGAGTAATACAGTTGTCCAGCTGTGTTTGGAAAGCGGTGCAATAACGTGTCGCGTTTCTAGCTCCCCGCCCATGCTGCTGATTTAGGGGAGGAGGGATTGAACCCAAGGCGTGAAGCAGTGGGAATGTTGTTGCTTCTGGAAGGCTGGCTTTTTTTTTTTTTGCCCTTGTCCTGGAGCTGGGCATCAAAGTTTTTCTTAATCTCCAGAGCTTCCTTTGCGTAGCTCACCAGTGGGTTTCAAATGCCACATCCCTCTTGCACCCGATAAACAGCACAGAGCAGCTTCTGCAATTGACTCTTCTCATTGTAGTTAATTACTAGGAGTTCCTTACACTAAAGGGTAGATGGAAAATTATTTCCAGTGCATTTGTTCTCTTGACTAGGCATGGAATATATTTATTCCTCTCTTGAGTCTTCAGTTTTTCTTTGCTCTTCTTCCTTGGCAGTTCAGCAGTGGGATCTGCAATGCTCATGCAATGTGTGTGCAAGGAGCTTAGTGGCTTGGCTCCTGGGTGGTGACATACACTGCTCCCATGTGGAATTGCGACTGGATTAACGCTGTGCCGATGGTGCTCAGACAACAAGAGTTTGGGGTTCAGTGGAGACCACAGCCCTGTTAGCACCAGCATGTACAGCTACATGATCATCAGGGTTGCTTTGCAGCTCCCTTCCATAGATCAGGGCTGCATCCAGCCACAAAACTCACCCAGCACTGCCTCCACACACAGCAAGAGGGAGAGAAGCATCTCCTAGGTGGTTTTGGTAGCCTTTTTACCTGAAGACATCGGGTAGCTTTCCATGTATCTCAGAGAAATATGTCCAAATTCTTATTGTTTGTGTTGGACAGCTGTTTCTGCTCTTGCCCAGCTTTCAGTGCTGCTTTTCCCTGCAGCAGTTTCCCAATGTCTCACGTAGCTGCAAGGCTAAGAAGGCTTTGCATTTCTGGATGGATAATCAGTAGATCACTGTGCTGGTCAGACTCTCCCTGCCTCTTCTTTATTGACCTGTTGCTCTACTGAAACCTCAGCCATTTAAGAGGCAGATTGAGCCACGAGTTGTTACCTGAACTCTCTATTTTTACCCTTTTGTAAACAAACTCAAACCCTGAAATTGTGAAACTAGGAGAACAACTCGGGTTGTGATTTCTTTAATAATCTAATCACCTTCTCCAACTTCTCCACTCCCTGGGATGGGGTTTGGTAACCTGTTACAAATGGGGCAAGACAGTTTTGAGCAGCATCTTGCAAGACTCTTGTATATGAGGGAGTATTTGCTGATTCCTACCTCCCAAGAGGCTGGAAACTTAGGCTGGGACCCCAGGGTACCGCTAAAGCAGTCCACCAGCTTGGGGAAGTAGCTTTTTTCTCTGGACGGCTCACTTCTGAGGCCCTGCTGACTGCCCCTGGGCTGCTTCCCCAAGACACCAGTGTGACATGTGGCCCTCCACATCGCCTGGGCCTTCAGCAGCTGAGTGCACACATTAGAAACATATTGCAATGTAGTAATCTCATTTTAATGGGTGGCCTTAGGTATTAAAGACATCACGTCATCCACTTCTGCCCACTGCTGTTGTTTCACTGGACATTTGGCTTAGAGATCTATGTCAAACAGAGAGATAAAAGACAGCAAGAGTGTGGTCAGAAACAGAAGCAGGTTGGGAACAGCCACAGCTAAGTACTGGCTGGCTGTAGAAAAAACCTTTGAACCTGTCCTGGGCAGCTGCTTTCTTGCCGCTTGGGTGCTTGGTGTTAGCAGAGGTGATGAAGATAAACAGAAATGAGGGAAGACCTTTCTCTGTACTGTTTAGAGGCTGTGGTTCCTTGGCAATATATGAAATTGGAGTGGTGACTGCTTTGCAGGAATTGTCACCTGACATACTGAAATCTGCATCCAGGATCTATGGGGCATCTTCAGGATCGATTTTAGCTACATGTATATTGTGTGAGTGTGATGCAGGTAAGGGCTGTGCACTTCCTTTTATTCTGTGCCTAAAGAAATTGAATGTCTGAAAATTTTGGAGTTGCAAAAGACCATTTTTTTAAATTATCCTTAGTTAGTGGTTAAATCCTCATAATTTTACTTCACTGACTTCTTTAAGAGTGGAAAACATGGGTAAATTAACCAGCACAGAGAAAATAAACTAGATATGGTTATTAAATAAGTCATTGCATCTTATTAATTTGAATGAATGGTAAGCATATCTAATGTAAGAAACAGAAGTGCCCTCCCTAATAAGACGTTTGGGGTTGTTGGTAGATTCCCAAAACACAGAGGGGAAAGAAAATATCGAATATGGAGACGATCAGTGTTGCTGTTGCGTGAAATAAAGTTATAGTCACAGAGCTGAGAAATACATTAGGGGGCATAGATGCAGAGCTAACAGGAGGAAATATTATGCAAAGGCTTCCTGTCAGTTTTCTCCCATATCTCCAAAAATTTTTAAGATGTCTTGTGGAGGAAATGGAGAGAAACAGGAAAAGAAAACAAAATACTTCGGCTTCCTTCTCCCATGTAGTTAGCAATAGGACGAGAGGAAATGGGCTCAAGCTGCGCCAGGGGAGGTTTAGGTTGGATATTAGGAAAAATTTCTTTATGGAAAAGGTGGTCAAGCATTGGAACAGGCTGCCCAGAGAGGTGGTGGAGTCACCATCCCTGGAGGGGTTCAAAAAACGGGTAGATGTGGCACTTGGGGGGATGGTTTAGTCTAGTCTACCCTTGATTGGTTTAGTGTGGACTTGGTAGTGTAGGTTAATGGTTGGACTGGATGATCTTAAAGGTCTTTTCCAACCTAAATGATTCTATGATTCTATGATTCCTGCAATATTGAAGGTCCTTGGAAAATCTGGGTCCACTCATGAGAGCTTCAGCCCTAATGAAAATAATGGCCTTTTATGAACTTTTACCAGCATGGTAAAATGGCCCTTTACCAGGTGGAAGTGCAGCCCAGAAAGTACCTAAATAATAATATAAGGGATGTGGAATGATTGCTTTGCTTTGCTTTAGCTGGGCTGAAAGAGATCGCCTTCAAGATTAAGAAAATCCCTTTCTGGTCACGTCTCCCTGGCCCACATATCTGTAAAATGATAAAGAGTATCTTAGACAAACATCTGCCTATGAATGCCCACCAGCTGGTATCGGGAAGGCTGCATGTTATCCTCACCCGTCTGCGTGACTTTAGAAGCACAACGGTTTCAGATTTTGCCTCGAAGGAGGACCTCATTCAGGTGAGAGCAGCCATGGCCACCCTGCGAGGGGAGGAGCTGCATGAGATCCGCTGCCTGTCCGTGCCCCACAGCATCCGTGGGGGAGGCCTGGGGCCTCTCAGTAGTCCATGCCATGATTTCTGTCCTTGCCACCCTCTGAAGCCAGACAGGGTCACAAGCTGAAAATAATAAAAAATCAGCCCATTTGATTGCTGGCTGAATTATCTACAGGCCCTGAGTATTTGCATAGGGAGCAAAATGAGGCATTTCATGGGTTACCTTCCCGCTTCTCCAACCCTGGCTGTGGATATCAGACATGGTCTGGTCCACAGTAGTCAGTGGTGCCCAATAACCCAGCCGTGGGTCCCCCATTTTGGCATTCACAGATGAGCCACCATTCCCAAAGGCAGCAGGTTTTTCTGGCTCTCTGCTAACCTCTGTGTTTTCCGTCTCACCCACAGGCCCTGATATGCAGCTGCTTCGTCCCTCTGTATGTTGGATTATTACCTCCTGTGTACCGTGGAGTGGTGAGTAGCCTTGTGGTCTGGACACCCTATCCTGATTCAGGCCAATGGCCCATCAAGCCTGTGTCCTTTCTCCAGTGGTGGCATTAAGCATGTTTATACCCGTGTTTGCCACCAAAGTTTCTTGGTGCTGTGTTCACACAGGGTCTGCAGAGGGAAGAACTGAACCCAGGTGCCCCACAATCTGACCTCACTGCAGACAGAACTGACCTTCTTACAAAAGTGTCCATCCTCACCCTGTCCATGGGGTTGGCTCAACCCCTTTCTGCTGCACTTTCCCCTAGTTTCATTGAAGAGTAATTTTTTGGCTGGAAGGGAAGAGGTGGTGGGTGTAGACCTGAAGCACGTAGGACAGTGGTCAGGGCTGTTCCCTGGAAGGGGATCTCTGCAGCCCCAGTACCTCAGTCTAGTTTGGGCCTGAGTGGGGAAGAAATCTCAAATGTGTGCATGTGACACAGCACTCCTCTCTGAAAAGAGGAAGGCTCAAGGTTCCTTGTTTTCTCTCCTAGCGTTACATGGATGGGGAACTCGGCCTGTGGCACACCAACTTCACGTCCCAGACCATGATCACCGTGTCTCCTTTTGCTGGCGAATACGACATCTGTCCCAGAGATGACCCAGCTCCCTTCTTCATTTTCCAAGTATCTGATTGTACTTTACGGTTATCAAAAAGAAACATCTCCCGCTTCCTGTATATTATCCAGTTTCCCACATATCAAGTGAGCAGCTTCTACAGGTACTGAGAGCCATGAGGCCCCTATAGCTGGCCCATCTGCCCTGACTGCCACCTCCCCCCTGCAGGTTATGGACCAGCTTTATACCCAGGGCTACCAGGACGCAGTCTCCTTCTTAAAAAGACTGAGTAAGTGATTGGGAGTGAGGAACAGGTAGGTCGGGTGCTTCTCTTTACAACGTTGGTTTGCTGACAGAAGGTAAGAAATGCTGCCCATGCATCTAGCGTGACTGGGGCAGAGATCCCTGCATCTCTGGCATTTCCAGGACTACTTGAGTCCCATCCTCTCTGTGGACTCTCCTGAAGCTCCCTGTTCACCTCTTCCCCTCTGATGATGTTGGGTCCCCTCTTCTCTGCCACACTGGGCATGGTAGAGCTTTCCAGGGAACGCAGGTCTGCAGGACCTAGGCAGGAGATGTAGGCTTGGGTGCCTTGTGTGGTATTAGACTGATAACCCACTGATGCACAAAGCAGCAATGCTTGGTGATCCCTGACCCAGAAACCCAACTCAGATTAGCCGTGCACTGTGGTCATCAGTCCCCCTATTTTCCAGTCAACCCTGGTCATGCCTCACATTGCTGGAGACCTGGTAGTTGAGCAACAAGCAGTGAGAGTTGGATTCTCTTCCCACCAGGTGAATTTGGTATAAATTACCTTGATGGGGACTTTATGCCTTCATTGGCCAATGAATCATGTCAGAAAGCTGAAGGCACCCTGCACTGGAAGACAGAAACAAGTCTACTTTGCTCCAGAGCCACAGACCCTGAGGATGTCACCAAAGAGAATCCAGGGACCATCCGGGCAGCAGATGAAGTGGAAGAGGAAGCCCCACACCGCCTTCTCAACCATCAGAAAGGTAGAGGACCAGTACTTCCTTTACCCCATCAGTTTTCATTAGCCAAGTGACACTTGCCCAGGGCTCTCACTGCCAAAAGAGGCTGGCTGGGTTTTTGCAGGCTCTAGTAGGTGAGAACATCAGGAATGGGAGATCCCTGGGTCAATGGTTGTTAGTGAAGCCTCATGCTGAACTTGCTTTGGGTGAGGTTTGAGGACTTTGGCTGTGGCCAGGTCAGAAGGGCTTTTTGGAGAAGTAGCTCTTTCTAGGAAGACAGACATTTACTTGCCTTGCAAGGTAATAACAAGTTCTACCCACACATCATTTTGTTAGGGGTGAGGGAAGGAGCAGTGCCTGGATGGTTAGAGCTGGATTTGCTGTGCCAGTTAAATCAAAATGTCTACTTAGTTACTCTGATGTGCAGCCATGTGTAAATATTTAAAGTGCAAGAAAAGTTTATTAGAGCTGCAGGCAAACTTCTACCCGTATCATTTTTAAGCAACATAAGGCAGGTTTAAATCCAAAACTTCTAGTTTTCTGCAATCCTATGCAAAATACTGCCCTCTCCCATTTCAGTTTTGACATGGAAAACTGGTGAGCCCTCAGCATCTTGGATTCCAGTTTGTCTTATTGTTACTAGCGGAATACAAAGAAGTATGTGATGGAGTGCAACATTTCTTTCAATTTTGTTATTTATTTTCTTTTTCTTTCTGAGTCTTTCAACATTTCAGAATTTGTCAGCTTAGGAAAAATTACACTGCTTTTCCAACATGATGATGGTTTAAAATGTTGCCACATAAAGAAATAGTGAAAAAAGACCCAAATATTGTTCTGCTCTATCTACGAGGACCACACCAAATGAGGAATATAAAGAGGAAAGAACAGGACCATTACCATTCCAAATATAAAAATAAAAGCTTGGCAAGCATAAAATAAAAGCAAAGAAGACATTTCCATTTAAACCAAAACAACTCTACCTATGGGAAGAGAGCCACTACAGAAATGCAGGACACAGTGTTAGGCCGTACAGTTTGCTTCCTTGCTTGCTTTTTTAAAGGCTTCATCACTCCAAACTACATGCAGCTTTTGAAAGCAACATAGTAGGAACCAGGTTTCTTTGGAGGTTGAGCAGGCTCTGGGCTATGAGTCTCTTGGTGTCTGGTTTGCAGCTGGGCTGCAACATTTTGCACCAACCTAAGGTCATCTGTGGAAGGAATCAAGACTCATTTGTTAGGCCAGAGAGCAACCAACAGGTAAGTCAGGGCTCTCAGTCTGCAGGGGAGAAGCACATTGGATTTTTCAGGTCTGGGAAGGAAAAGCCCTGTTGATCTAGGTGAGGAAAAGGCCACTTTACTGTTTATCTGCACAAAAATATAATATCATTGATGTTACCAAATAAGCAAGGGTATAAACCTGTGAACAACTCGCACCTGTTTTCCTGAATAAGTCAGAATATCTCCAAAGGACTACTGCTACAGCAGAGCCCGCACATCAGCAAGGCTCAGGCCGGATTAGCAGGTTAACCACGAGCATTGCATTTTTATCCATGTGCTCACTAGGACAGCTGCACGAGAAGTTGCACCCTCCTTAGTGTCTAGACTAGAAGCAGATTCTGGCATAAAGCACCTCCAGCCAGCAGCCAGAGACACACAGAGGATTGGACACATTTGTTTTCATTTGGCTCAGTTGCGTGGATCTGGCCCCAGGACTCCCCTTCCCACTGGATCTGCAGTGGGATCTAACTTTAGAGAAAGCTCCTGCTGACTTAGGTTGCCTCCAGACTTTCATCTCATCCACCTCAGGCTTCATGACTCTGAGTTCAATGCAGACCAGGGCAAGCAACAGGACAGTGGTATGGGGGCAATATTTTAAGGATATCAAAACCTGCTTATCCCATTACCCTGTAGACAACAGGAGGGAGGGAAGCAGTCCTGATCAGGTATTTGAATCCAGTTTGTCTCACAAGAACTGCCACAAGTCTCTGTCAGGTTGACCAGTGTGGTTTTACTCCCTTTAGGGCCACGCTAACCACAGAAGAGCATTTTTGATGCCACTGCTGCCTTTGGCCCCCGTTCATCTTTTAAAGAGAGAAAGAGCAACTTGCAACCCAGCCTGCAGACAGACACCGGCATGGCCTGAAGAGCACACTGTGGCAGCAATGTCACCAGCACAGGCAGGACAACCCCCCTCCTATCCCCTCCCCAGGCCCCAGGTGATTCCCATGACCCACCTTCAAAGGAGGCATTTCAGGCTGAAGACAGGATCTATTGCAGCTGGTTTAAACCACGTGCAGCTGGGTTTCCCAACTTGCTTCCCTTGGAGGGAAACAAGCTCCTTGAGAGCCAAAAGATGCCAAACTTTTCCTCTATCCATTGCCTCTGACAGATCCAAGCTTATGCAGAGACAGCATTGGGTGTGCTTGCTTGAAAAGGTGGGGGATTAATAAAGCAAAAGAAAGCTAATTTGAATGATGAGTCATTAAATACTTATATTGTAGTGCATCTCTGCATGTTTGGAGCAGGAGGGCTCTGTGCTGTCACCGTTTTTGTCTGGGTGTTCCCTGTAGGCTATTTTTTGTTGAAGTTCTCAAAGTTTTACTAACTTTTTATGATCAAGCACCATGCCATGTAAGGGCAGGTGGGATGCACTGAGTGGTTCAAAATATGCTCCTGGTTGTGGCTGAGATTTGCAGACAAATTTAGAGGATTTGGATGTCCAATTCCTATGAGAATTTTCTTTTGGGGAGATTTTAGTTCCCATCTGAATAGGGGTAATGTAACTGCCTGAGGCTGACTGAAGTGGTTATATCCTGCCTGGAGGTGGTGGTGCTTGCCAGGAAGATCAGGAGCCTGGAAGAAGGGCTGTTGCAGAATTGGGGCTGTCTGCCTGGGAGGGAAAGCAGAAGTGCAGTATGAGCAAAAGCAAATGATGGGCTGACTGTCCCTGCTCCTGCCCAGGGAGCGGTGGGTGTCTCTGCACCCTCTCCCCCCTCTCCACTTTGACCTGTGACAGGAACATAGTCACAGTTCACAAGCTGGTTTTGAGTAGCCTAGCTTTGGCTGCAGGGGTTGAGAGATGTAAATCCATCCAGGACAGAATCGAGACAAGAGTAGGTTTTGATGGATCCAATGCAAATAAGCATCCAGGTTTCTTCTAGCAAGCTCATTGCGGAGAAAATATTCTAGGTTGTTGATTTCAACCAGAGATAGCAGAATATAGTATGTTAATCATTCACTGAGCATTCATAGTTAACTTTGAATCTGTTTACATCAATGCAGCCCTCCTATTCCCCACATTCATGCCTGCAGTCTCCAGGGCGCTTTGGATGAAACTTCCCTCTGTATCATTTCCCTTCGTGCAATTATACAAGCTGTTTATTCAAATGAACAGTTTGTGCTGTTGTGATCCATTTGTTGCCCATCGGGAACCAACAAACAGGGGAGACAACTGGGGTACAGCCAATCCATCAGCCTCTGATGTGCAAATTGTATTTAGGATGATAAGAGTGCCAATTCATTCTACGTACAGACCAGCAACACGAGGGGTTGGACCGTACACTGTTCATAGCAGTGAGTTACAGAAGACTGCATGGAAAGAAATGATGTATTTGTGAAATGTCAGCTCTCCCGGTGCAATAGGAGATGCAGTCTGGAAGACTGTGCTACTCTGAAGCAGGGGGAGGTTAATCTTTAGGTTGCTCCATCCTTCTCCGCAGCTGCAAATTCAGAGGGTTCCAAATGTGCACCTACCTCCACTGTCAGGAAAAGCAGGCCTCTGAGGGTGTATGAAGCTCAAGAATTGGTAATTAGAAAAATAACTTCAGGAAACTGGATAGAAATGAGTTCCTGCTCAGTGTGATGCTCCCTAAGGCATCTCCCTCTCTCTGTTTTCTGTTTGATGAATCTCTCTGAAAGTTTTTGAGTGGGAGGCAAACACTTAAAATGTGACGTTTCCTGGCAAATGTCTGCCCTGTAACCTGCATTAAAGCAGGGGGAGGGATGCCGCTGGTGATCAGCAAGTGGAGCGGCTAGGGAAAACAGCAGCCGGGCGGCACACACATGCAAGTAAAGATGCCCAATCTCCCCTGCACAGACTGCGGTTCGGCCGTCATGGTAAAGCAAGTCAGGCCTGGGCAGGGAGACTGCAGCAGCAGCAGTACTGGAAACAAAATCAGCCAGTTTCCCCAAGTGAAAAAACCACTCACAAAATACTCCATAAAAACCAGCAGCTGTGCCACTGTGTGAAATGAGCTCCGGTGTCACCACCGCTTCCCCAGGCAGCAGAGTCGCATGGT